CAGCAGGAAGGATCCTAATCATGATGTTGATGCTTCCTGAAACAAGAGTTGAAGATTTTAACCGCAAAAAGAGCAATTTGGAACAGGATAGAAGAAGCCTCAGCTTACAGACATTTCCGAACCACCACTTTGGAGATGAGCATGCTTGCTGATTAAGCTTGGCTAAACTAATACGAAATAATATGCATTAGAAATACCTACACTTGATTGCCCACAATGCTAGCAATACTTTGGTCCCCAGAAAAAAGCAATAAATCAATTCGCCATGTAATTTAAACAGCAAAGGGGGTATATATAGGAATCATAATTCATGTAGGAATCATACATTCTGAAGTACCTTAAAGGCAGGAAAGGCAACTAGAAAATGCAAGGCAGGTGCACCAAGAACCATGCATGCTGCAGCTGCCTGGAGCTCTCACTGTCCCACCAAACCCAGGCTATTTTTCCCTGAACCTGGCTAGAAATTAAATCCTCCTCCTCGGTCGTGTTGACTCAGCCAGCTGTGTGGCTGCACTCTGCACAGGATCGAGCCAGACACGAACAAGCCAGGAGTACTTTTAAAGTTGGTCTTTTCTCTTAAGGCAACTCCCCCCCCAAAATCTGCATGATCAATTTTGCAAATAGACATACAGGTGAACGAGTCCAATTGAAGTAAAGTTAATTTCTACATAAAAAACTTTGAGATGGATCTGCCACTGACACAGCAGTGAACACGTATCTACAACCTAAACTAATGTATCGGGTGACTCAGTAAAGGTGCAGTTTGAATTTATAACTATAAAGAACATACACATTCACTTCACTTACACTGTTTTTTACCCCCCTCCCCAAATGAAAAAAATAATGCAGGGAGATTCTTTTTTTTTGCTAAGCATGCTGCTAACCTCCTATAATTGGAAATGACTTTTCGTGCTATTTATCAAACTCCAATGAAGAATAGATTTTCTCCAAATTATCAGCCCCAGAAATAAGAAATATCCCTCAAGTCCTCATCTCATCACAAAATATGGAATACATTAACTGAAAAAAAAGGCTAGTTCGGATTCTTGTGGCCATAGCGCAAGCGATGGCACAAACTACATACAATAATTGCTTTGGTGTTTCTGAAAGCACATTCATGCTTACAGTTAATCACACTGGTAATTTAACTAATACGGTTACTGCGAATAGACTCCACAGGCCACATTTTCTAAATTACACGTGGAATTGTTTGTTCCCCAAATTTCTGAGTGCAAGTCCCTTGCTGTTCAGGACTGCAGAGCCACTGATACACTCTTTAAGTATCAGATGAGGATAAGCTCAAAGCTGCAGCAAGGAGGAGGGTTTTACCTGCTCAGGACACTTAAATACTTGGGGTGCCCCATGCTTGCTGCTCCCTACCCTAGCAAAGGGGCTGCATAAAAAATGAGTGCAGTATTTCCATCTGAAAACAGCAGTTGGAGCCACAAAAAGACTAAGTTGTCTGTAAGTGACTATTCTGCAAGAGTGAAGTTCCTTAGGTATCCAGAGATCAGCTCTGGGCATGTTGAATGGGTTAAATAAAATCACCAGGAGTAGTCTGAACTGATCCCATTAGGCAAAGGGTGACACGTTAGGCTTCAAATTCCCTTGCAGACCTACAATTCTTGGTCCACAACAGCCCAAATTTGTTCATACTGAACGAGGCATTTAGCTCATTTTTGAGTATTGCTGGAAGCTGCAGATGAGTTGATTCTTTGCTTGCATCACCCACAGACCCCAAGCAGCAGATATGCTGGGATCTATTTCTCATACTAATAACATGGGAGACTAATTTAAGCAGGATTTGGGAAATGCTCATTCCACTGTCACCTTGGTTTGAGTCCATCTAACCAACTCTCAAAAGACAGCACTAGTCACCAGATGATGAAGTGCTGTGTTTCCATTTTTCCAATGCTCTTTTTTCACAATATATGACCTATTTATGAAGCCCAAAGAGTATTTCGAGACCCAGGAGCTAACCATAATCACTGCAAAAAGCACTTGCAAGGAAGCATGTTTATTCCTCAGCATTTTCAGGTATCGAACATTTTTCTGGCTCCTCCGCCTTGCAGGTTCTTGTCAGAAAATATTCTTAAATTTCTTGGGAGGCCTCACTAGTTTTCCTTTTTCAGTCAAGAAATACTTTGCCACTCCAGTCCTGTACCCCCTTATTTCCTCCTTTCTCTCTCCTCTGGCCATACTGGAAGCTGGGTTAATTATAGTAACAGGCAAAAAAGTGAAAGAAAGATGTAACGACATGATCAGCAGCAACGCTCTGGCCAAGGCTGGTCAAGCAGCTCTCAGGTCCCATCTTGGATGAATTCTCTTATACAGGACCCAAAAGGCAGTCCTTATAAATCTGTGCTGCTCAGTGG